GACGTGTTTTGGTGGCAAGTACCGCTGTATGGCTCCGGTTTACCCACCAGGACCCCACCGCTAATGTCAAACTGAGTGCCAAACGGCGCCGAACCCTAAGCGCGGAGGTCTGGTGGATTCTGAAGGTACAAGGCTCGAGGTCACTTTACAAAGAGAATGTTCAGTCCTTTGTCCCGCTCCCCTGGCGAAATACGTCCCAGGGTTATGCTCCGTAACGCTCCATCCCGGCTTCTTTGCTCCAGCTTCGCCCCCCCCCCTCCTAGGCCCTGTAGGCAGGTCTTATATGAGTTCAGTGAATACGTGAGGATTCAGAAGAGTGTAAATTGTTCCCAGCAATCATCGCGAAGAGGAGAATAATTTTATATTGATGTTATTATAAAAATAAAAATATTATATATTATATTATATCGATATTAATATTTTATTATCTGTATGGGGTAAATTGAACTTGTGAACTGAAATGATTTCAAACCTGAAAGTTAAATGGGTTCCCCAGCATCCATAAAGCGATTTAGCGGCCAATATATCATCGCTATTTCCCCTTCAAGATTCCTGTCAACAACATTTTATTGCGGTTTCATTTTGTTTATCAAGTAATCTAATAGTTTTCTTTCAATCTATTTTATTATCTTTATTATTATTACCTACATTTATTATATAACCAGTTATGTTAATAGAGACATTCATTACAAGAGGGTATAAAAGGGTCTTTGCAAAGTTTCATAAGAGAACTCGGAAACGACCGACATCCTCGCCCTGTGCTTTCCTTTTGCGCCATGCTTTCCTTTTCTTGTTGAAATAAAATAACGATTGAATCACTTCTCTTTTTATCCATATTTTCCTACCGGACCAGATTAGGGTGGCTCGGCGCTGTTCGGCGACGGGGGGCATTTTGTACTATCATTGCTTCCTTAGTTCCGGTTTACAAGTCTCACTCTGGCGAAACCTGTGAACTCTTGTGAAGCTGGAGCAAGGTCGTCAAGCCATCATGTTAAAACCTGTCAACTCGAGAAGAGGCTGTCTAGATAGGTCGACACGTCGATGGGAAGTAGCAAAAGTGCAAAATGCCCCCCCCCGTCGCCGAACTGCGCCGGATGGCTCATCGATTTGCCGCGAAAAAAATACCGCACTCGTTGACCCATGGTTGCTGATTAAGCACAATTTTTTCATTTACTTTGATCACGTATGCGTTCCAGGGCACGCCATCGCGTTGTGATCATTTTCTGAAAATTACGACCCCCCTAATTCCATACTAAAATACGACCCCCTTTTTGGGAGTTGGTACGACCCCCTCCCAGCCCTCTGTCCTTCCTCATCGAACCGAGCCGTCGAGCGGGGGGGGGAGGTCGTCAGAATTAAACTATCATTTTCAAGTGTCGGAAATAGTAGTGCGTCCGTGAACTGACCAAATACGACCCCCCTCCCAAAAATGACCAAGTACGACCCCTCCCCCCCCTTTACAGCGTCCGTGAAACAAGAGAAATCAACTATCAAAAAAATTTTCTCTGACCAAATACGACCCCCCCTTGTGATGATCACAACGATGGCGTACCCTGATGCGTTCTGATTCACTTCTAATCTTCTGCCACTTGCTTGCTCCAAATGCAAGTGAGAAAGACGTATTCCCACTTATTCCACTCATCCTGACCTCATTGTCTAAGCACACATTCTCCATCACTAAGTATTTCAGTTCAAACAATATTGCCTTGAAATCGCCCCGCCCACGTAGGGGAGCCCGCCCGATCGGGCATTTCTTCGTTTCTGCCGATCTTTTCCCTGGGAATGAGTTTCCCCGCCTAGAACCACAGTCAAGAGGGGCGTGTCAGCGGAACGTGGTTTTGGGCGTCGCTTTTCCGCTATCGCGACGACACCACGGAGTGCCGCGACTAAGTCGTTACCAGGGCCTTACGATGCGGAGTCCCAGCGAGGGAGGGATCGTACTTAGTCGCCGGAGGGAAGTGAGTCCACATTTGCCCTTGAAGGAAAACGTTTCTTGCTGACGCTTCTCGGGTTTTTCCCCGGTTATATGTGTCCCCCTCCCCACGGCCGGTGGTAGTATTTTAGGGAAGGAGTGCAGGCATTCCCGAAAAATCTCCGCGAAAGTGATAGGAAGGTATGGAGATTCAGCATTGTTGTACGTGGGATGGAGCATAGGCAAGGGGGGCGGGGCGGCAGATCATACGAGGAGCGGACACAGAGGATTTCGAGGGGGTCGTATTTGCAAAAAAAAACCTTCCCTAGCGACAGGACGTGAACTAACCTCTACATATCCCACATCTACTGACCTGAGTTTACAGGCTGGTTTTTGATTTTCCTTGCACCATACCTACACTTCTTATCCCTGAAACGGAGTAGGCGTGGCTTTTGAGCATGGCATAGTACGGGTTTCTCGTGGGATACTTCAATTTGAAACAACTGCTATCTTGTTCTGTGTTAGATGTAGACATGATTACGACTGCTCCAAAATGACAATATCTCACGAAAACCTGGGCCGCCGCCATTTCAAATCAAGTACGCAGCCACGCCTACCCGATCTCAGGGATTTCGAGTATATATGTAGTGTTTCTGGCTCCACCTCCGTGTCATAAATCGTCCTCAGTGGTTTCTGATGAAGTTTCCTCAAAATCTATTTTTTTTGTGCAAAATTTATTTTACCGAAAACGTAGAGCGCATATGGTGGGGATCAAATGAAGGCGCTCATAGGACTTGGAGGGAGGGGGTGCTCTTATTGCGACACCTGTATGCACTTGTCAGCACCTCAAATCCCGTAATCTGTAATCTGAATTATGTGAATACTGAACAAAATTGTCAACATCCTGTAAGCCATGTTATCATCTGTCAAGTACCTGTAAACTCCTGTAGAACTTGTCACAATGGTCAAAGTGGTCACGATAATACTACTTCGCTAAGCTTGGCAGGAGTTTACAGGTACTTGACAGGATTTCACAGGACTTGCAGAGTGAAACACGACTGTGACAAGGCAAACGAAACGGTTACAGGTGTGGCACCTTCCAAGAATAATAAAGCCAAAATGAGCTCAATTTCCCATGCAAAATTCTTCCAACGTTCTGAGTCACTAGGTAGTAACTGTGTAATAATGTCGGCATTTTGTTAACCAATCGTTGAGCACTATATAGCGAAGCCATTGACTGATATACTGGAACATTTCAACATTTAAAAACTGCTACGAAATCCGCGAAACGTTTATTAGTAAAATGGCTTCCGTCACGGCGACGACTCATTCCAGTAGTTCAAGTTGTTAGGAGAATTTTTAGGGCCATACTGAAAAATTTAGCGACTTGGTTCCACGTTCAACATTTTACATGCGTGATTGACCCCGTCATAAAATCCCGAATTGAAGGCAGAAATCGCGGCGATGAGCCAGTGCAATGTTCGTTGAAAGTGGGGTTAGAAACGGAAATGTATGTGCTAGTCGAGTTGCCTGTGAAGAAAAAAGTGGAGGAAACGCTCCAAGTAAGGCCCTTGTGCCGAGCGAAATATAAAGAATCGATGTGGATATCAGGCGAGAGTCCAGAGAAAGCAGCGAGAGAGCATGCAACCGAGCAAGACAGCAGATAAGACATCTATCAAGGTGGGTGGAGTCACTTGAGCAATCTTAGACCTTACCGCTGCTACCTTACACTTATCTTACGAAAAGCTCAGATAGTGTGAATGGTTGTGGGCTACGCCTTCGTAGCTTCCAATGCCCAGGTGATAGGGAATGTCGTACATCTAAGAATTCCCAGCTGGGTGGGGGGGGGGAGGTTGACCTAAGGAACTTCTCATGTTGATATGCGCGAATAATGCGCGAATTTTTTTTTTCAGTTGTGAGTTTTTGCGATTCCCCACCCCCCTCTCCCGCCCCCCCCCCCCGCCACCACTGGTACTGCAGCCAGAGACCTAAAAACCCGTACAACAACTGCTTTCGATCAACGCACATCATCGTAGGGGACTCTCCAGCGGGGGGTCGAATTTGGTTGCTGGAGGGGGGATCGTATTTGGGAAAATTTTTTTTTGGTAGTTGATCCTTCTTTTTCAGGGAGGCTATAAAGTGGGTTAGGGGGTCGTATTTGCTCGTTGTTGGGAGAGGTAGTATTTGGCTTCTGGCGTTCTGAGCTCTATACTCCCCCCTCCTCCCGCTCGACAGCAAACTTTTCGGGAAAAGCTAGGAAAAATTTTCGGAAAATTCCGGGAAAATGGTAGGAAGTTGGGAAAATCGGAAAATCTAATCAAGTGGTACATAAGGTGGGAGGACGGAAGGGAGGGGGGTTCGTATTTTCCTCGCGGTTTTTTCCCGTTCCAAATGTGTAACACTCTGCCTCTCGGCCCGCTCGACAGCTCAATCGGATCAGGAGGAGGGGGTCGTATCAATCTACCTTCCAGGAGGGATCGTGGGGACTCGACTAAAATCCCCAACATGATGTTCCCTGCTTTCGATAGTTTGATTTAGTATTGTTTGGCGACGACCACACCTTTCCCTTGTTCCCCTCCCCCCCCCTTGCTCCCATTTACCCGCTCAAAGCCATGATTCTGGGGTAAGACATGAAAACTCTGGAGAAATCCTCAGAAAAGGCGGTAGGAAGCTGGGAAAAGTCAGTAACATGCTCGGCAGGTTAGACGAGGAAGGGGAGGCGAGGAGGTTCGTAATAGGGAACGGGACTCAGGGGTTGGAGATTTCTGAAGAAATCTCCAGCGGACAGGAACGCCTTCCTTCTACGACGATAGACGACAGCCATCGTGTCAACTATATCTGCCACCTGCGAGGCTTTCCTCCTACTTCCTCCGACAGCCACCGTCCTTTCTCTCTCTCTCTCTCTCTCTCTCTCTCTCTCTCTCTCTCTCTCTCTTTCCTCTCTCTCTGCGATCTTTTCTTTCGTGGCAAGACTATACCAAACACCTCCATTGCCTACAAATAGTTGATTTCTTCTATGTTTAGTGATTTTAGTGACCATGAATCTATTCTGTTGTTTTTCTGTTCTTAATATGGCTCATAACTCATAATGGCTCCACTAAGTTCCGTTCCAATTTTGCTTTCGTCACGCGTTTTATGGCGCTTGTCCGACTATGTGATCAATCTGTTCTTCAGCATCTCCACACCCACACATGTTATTACATTGGTCACGATGACTATGAGCGCACGGATGTACCGGGTGCCATTTGGCAGCCCTGGACCTCTGTTTATACTTCTCGTCCTCATTGGCGTACTACAAATTGTTCATGGTGAAAAGTTTCTACTCTACCATGTTCAACCGAATGATGCACGTGGAATGCGTCTATTACGGCAGTTACAAATGCTCGATCATAAATATCAGGTGAGTGATTGTGATAGTTTTGCAAGCATGGATTGGCTAGACTCTTATCCATAGCCTTGTGGATAAGAGTGTAGCCAATGTCTGCGTTCCACACTCGAGTTCGGTCCCTGCCGAGGCAAAGCTGTGAGCTTTGCGAAAGTTGAAACAATGGTGCTGGTACCAGGGTCAGGCCAAGGTTAATGGGTGATACTTCATCAAAAAAGACCTCACTGAAGTTGTCCAATAAGAACAGAACTCCGAAAGCCTGTACTAAAGTTAGGGAGAAAAAACTGGGATGGTTTTGCCTATTTCCCCATGTAAGTCTACTTTTTTCCGTAGGTTTTCTCACACCGTTATGGAACAGGTTACTTCTGTTAGACGCCGCCACTTTCTCCTGTTCTCGGAATCTTTTGCCAAGAACTTCACTCAGTGGAATATTTTTTTGAATGTTCTCCTATTTTTTCCATGAGGCTTGTCCCCTACTTTGTAGTCTTCCATGAGGTTTGTCCTCTGCCTTATAGTCTAAAGTTTTCATTATTCTGCGATCGTCAACCACTTTTAGCCAAGGCACGTCATCGCGTTGTGAGAGAAATTTTCACAAACCTTACACCTCCCCCCATTCCTTCTCACTTGGGACAACCCCTCGGCCTTGAAAAGGCCCTGGGAAGACGTTGTAAGGCAGTGACATGGCATAGGCACGTCGTTAGGTCCCCCCCAGCTACCCTTGCTCCAGTATCAATGAATGATAATTATAACAATAATACGATGAATGAATTTCAGGTCGACTTCTGGAAAGAACCGAATCATTTTGGTGATTTTGCTGACATAATGATCTCATCAAAGAATGCACTGGCCATGGAACATCGTTTTCGTCGAGCAAATATCACATACGATATTCGAGTACCAGATGTGGAGAAGTAAGTGCTGTAAGAAGTAGGGTAACCACTCATGGCTAGAAAGACAGCGCATCTGGAGGGGTCAGCCTGCGATTCCTCGTCGCCGCCTTGTAAACTGTTTGATAATTCGCGAATTTGAGAGAAAAAGAGAGCTCCGGGGAGGGTGAGCCACGTCGGACATTGCAAAGTTTTACGAGTGGCAAGTGATAAACTCGAGAGTTCATTCTTCAAAGTCGTTGGGAGCTATGACGTTGACGCAAAATTACAGACTGGCCCTTTTAAGACATATAGTGCCCTGTAGTAACCTTTTAGAAGGGTTCTGGTTCTTGAAGTCACTCTTATCGGACCCGCCATCGAACCGCCTCGCAGCCGCACGCATCGAGTCCTTGCCGCCCCAGCATCGGCTAAAAGCGTAACGATAACAAGAATGGATAGGCAGGACCGATAAGTGATGGGTAGAGGAGGCAGGCCCTCAGAAGCCCTTTCATTGAGGACATCGCTGGATGTGCCGGGGGTCTCAACCAGATCGACCTATAAGCATAGGGTAGACTAGCCTCTTATGTAAGATGCGCCACGCTTTTGTTTTCCATTTAAAATCGTATTGGAGCTTTGTATGTTTGGACGGAGGTACTAGTACAGCAGTAGTTTTGTATCCTGAAGGTCAGGTTTAAAGACAGCCCCCGCGCTCAAGTAGTACATGGTCGTCCTTCCTTGTGCAGGTAGTTCAGCCCCCAAGCTAGATACTATCCCACTCTCGCGACTCCACAGTGAGCGAGGAGCGAGCTACAGCCGCTCAAAGTTCTAGTTCTAACGCCCGCTCAGTTGGACCGCCTCACTTGCTAGCTGCCCTCTGACGGAGAGCCGCTCAGTTGTTCTTTGTTGGGACGGCGGGCATTAATCGGAACTGCATGTACTTTTTGCTAACCGCGCTCGTGCCCATAAATAATTCTGCTCTCCTTCATCACATTTTATTCATTGGGAGCACATACAGTCAACAGCAACCCATCTCGTAAGGTAAAACGCGTAAAAATCACGAATGATGCAATTTCTGTGGTGCAAAAGCTCGACATGCACCAAAAGCCGCACACTTTAACGTAATCAAATTAGGACGCCAGGTTTTTGAATTTTTCCTTTTTTCAAGTGTTTTTCGTTCGTGTCTTTGTTGTTTTTCATATTCTTTTCTTTGAATGGATGTTGTCCACTACTGGGAAATGCCATAAAGCGATTTGTGAGCCAGGGGTTGCCCAGGGACCGCAGGGCGGTGTAACTGTAAGGGAGCAATTTCATTTGTGGTGTTCTTGAGGGCTCTTGTTGCTTTTTTCCTTCATTGAGGAATTACTTATCAGCTACTGTTTCATAATTGATCAGCAATTATCCTTGACACTTTTATCGCGGGAGCTGTCTTTAACCCCACCCAACCGTCACCGGATGGATAGAGAGCGGGGTACAGCGTCGCGATGTGTGAAATGGCGTTGTGTAATACCGACCCCCCCCCCCTCGCCCTCTCTACTCCCTGATTCCCTCCTCTGACCTGATCGCTTCCCTTTTTGCAGCATGTCTCCTGACCAGCTTCCTGAAAATTCACAATTCCGGAAGTCACGGACCATAGCCTTTTTCTGATTACGTTTCGGAGAAGAAAGAGGGGCGGTTTAATAGCGACAAATAAAAAGGCATCTCAATAATCGAAATAGTTGTCACGGCTGGCTAGAAACTCTTATCAAGGACGAACATGATCCCTCCCACCGAACTACGAAGCCTCCGGCTCTCTCCAGCCACCAGGTCAGACACGACTCTTGGGATAGGATTCCCCCAAACATGCTGTACCCTGATGAAGAACATATTCTGCCCTGGCGAAAGCTGGCCGGAATACGATCCCACGCACGATATCGTCGTGTAGTAGTGGCACCTCTTTGGCACTTCTCCTTCTTTTTCTACAGTGAGCGAAGTAAAACTAATCAACGTGTCAATATTCAATTGCATTTCAGGCTAATCATGAGAAATGAACGAACAAATCGGACGTCAACTCAAGGTTCAAGGAGACTACACGATGATCCGATTCTAGATAGCGAGCGTGAGTCATTCAATTGTAACATTTTCGACGGTACTTTCTAGCTCTAATTGAGGAGTATGCAGCAGCGCGACCATGTCCGCTTTCTTCGCCTTCTCATCGAGAAATAGATTTTTTTTCCTCCCACCCTTACAGGCTTAGAAATATTACATAATTTTTGGCTCCGTTTACAGTCCAAACACCTTATGTCCCGAAAGAATTTGGGCCATACCCCTTTATCAGTGAGATGCAACTTTCGGCGAACAGAGTTTTTCACTCAACTTCAATTTATGGAACCTTACTGGATGCCCTTTACGGCGATCTGAGTTACCCGGTTGACTGGGATCGTTTTTCAACGTTTGATCGTATGGGCGGAGTTACTTAAGACGTCGCGCCATCTCCATGGGGTGTTCCTCTCCTTTTCCCTCTTGCAAAGCGTGGCCAATCAATGGTCTCATTGAGCCCGCCCATACGACCAGCGTGGAACGTACATTTAATGTTCCTTTGCTACCAATACAGAAAAAGAGTAAAGCAAACTCCATTAGTTCTCAGCTTTTTAGCCGATGGTGATCATTCTCGCGTTGGAAAACTTAAGAAGGCTAAATATTCTTTCGGAGATTACGCCTCGTATGCCGACATGATGAAATATATGCGCACGATTGAATTCTACTATCCAAACATCACAAAAATTGTTCGTTTGGGTACTACACATGAAGGTAGACCAATTGAAGGCATGAAGGTGGGTCCCGCAGCGATTTCCTGCCAACACCGTATGCTGTGCACTAATTGCACCATTTCAGATCGGCTATCCGATAACCGCGACGGATAAGAGAGCGATCTGGGTAGACGGTAATATTCATGCAAGAGAATGGGCAAGTAGTCATACGGCACTATATTTCATCAATCAGGTTTGCTAGACTTTCAGGATTTCGTCTCAGGACCTGCATGGGGCGACCACCGAGCAATCTTCTTCTTAGGAACATAATTAGTCGAAAATCTTGTCGCCCCCACCCATAGTATATTTAGTTGTAATTATGGGATTTCAAAGGGGTGGTACTAGAAAGCAGCCACAATACGGACTGAAAAGGCATTGTAGACCCCGCCCACTCAAGCTCCGCCCATTCAGCTTGTCTCTGGTTACGGTAAGGACGACACGATTACGCACTATGTGAACAGCCTAAATTTCTATGTACTGCCATGTTTGAATCCGGATGGCTACGAATACACCAGATCGTCACCGAATCCAAGTGTAAGTGATACTTGTCGATCAATTTTATAGGGCTCTTTCTCAGGTGTGTCCAAATTGATTTTAGGTCCGCCTATGGCGTAAGAATCGCTCGCCGGAGAGATGTAATCGTTCGCTATGGGGTGGAGAGAAGTGCTGTCAGGGTGTTGACTTGAATCGCAATTTTCAAATTCCATTGTGGGTCTGGTAATGTTTATTTTAAGGACAATCATGAATCAAGGACAACATTCCGGTGGATCAAGAGGGCGGAGACCTAGCATAGCCTGCCGCCTTTCTTGGCTGATACTGCGGTAGTACAATGAGAGAGGAGAAGGCCACCATAAGGCCACAGTTAATTATAAAGCTCTCAGAAAATTAAGAACGCGGTAAAAGAAGTTGCCGAAAGCCGTCTCTAAGGGACTGTTTTTTATGAAGCGATTACAATGAGGTGAAACACTAGCGGTGTGTGGATCGGCGATCTATTGCCGCCCGTCTTTTGGTTATTCCTCCCCGTTATAACGACTAAGCCCTGGTGTGGCGCTAGATGAACAGGAGATGGGGTGACAAGTAAGGAAACAATATTTTTTAGGACTAAGTTGACTCATTACTGGCAACACACCCATCGCTGAAACTCAGTTAGGTCCTGACCGAATTGTAAGGCCCAATCTATGCGAACTCAAATTACAGCGCCTCTAGCTTGAAATTCTTGGTGTCATGGAGAGTTTTGTAAGAGGCGGTACTAAAGCGCGCCCAGCCAATCACGAACCGATCGCAGATGCAAGCGCTCGTCTGTCATCATCTCCACTCTGGTCTGCTGACCAGTAGCTAACACTCAGGGAGCATAAGTGACCCAGCCAGTAAGGTGTCGAATTGCAGTGTTGCAAGTGCTGCCGTTCCCGCGCGTTCGCCCAACCCACATGCCTGTGGATCTATGTGACGAAGTGCTTCAGTACGGCACAGCTAACCCAATAGGAGATCCCCGTGCGCGCCGTTACGCGTGCCTTGCGACTGCACACGAATCTTGACCCGCACTTAGCCATGGATGTTTCAAGGGAACAGAGGGAAAATGAGATACACGCCCCTTTGCACACCTGCCCATGAAGTCTAAACCTGTTGTCCTTGGAAACTAGTCAAGCAGCGCGGTTTTCTGAATTTTTTTCACGTTAGGGTTGTTTTTTAGTTTTCGGTCAAGCCCATTCACAGCCGAATTGTTTGTTTGGTTTTTGGCCACGCCCACTTACAGCAATCAACGAGTTTTTTGTTCAGAATCCGGCTCGTCTTTTGAACCATGCTCCAACATTTATCATGGAGACCACGTCTTCAGTGAGCCAGAATCACGGTGAGCTCCACCTCTACTAGACCGTGTCCTGACAATGTGGACGACTTTCAGTGCCGTTCGTGACTACTTGAATTCGGACGAGTTACGCGGAAAAGTCGACGGTTTCATCACTCTTCATTCATATGCACAACTGTGGATTTATCCATACAGCCATGCCCAACAGAACTATCCAGAAGATATCAGTGAATTGGTACGCTATGGGGAACTCCGCCCATCAGCAGCAAACTATCACGTAATGCCTTTTTAGCGACGAACCGCCCGTCGAGCCATCAACCGGCTGCATCGTCAATATGGCACGGAGTATCGCATGGGAACAGGAGCTGATACGTTGTGTTAGTTGTCGGTTAGATTTGTTGGACGAGTTTTCCTCAGTTCGATTTTAATTTCACAGCACCGGCTTCTGGCGGTTCGGACGACTGGGCAAAATCCAACGGAATCAAATACGTCTACTTGGTGGAACTGAGACCAGAATATGAGCGTACGGGTTTGCATTTTGCGCGCGTTCAACGCGCGCACTGACCAGTCAATAATCGTGGCTATTTCAGTGTCGAACGGGTTCATCCTTCACAAAAAGGAGCTGATTCCGACTGCAGTTGAAACGTTCGAAGGCGTTAAGGTGAGTTTATTGCCCTCAAGTCTACTCGTCCCATTAGGGGCGGAGAGATACACGACCCTTCCCGAATATTAGCTCTAGTAAACGCCGCTAGGGAACACTTGGCCGTAT